TGTTTTCACATATCCACACATTAAAACATTGATTGTAACCATGATATATATGTGCTTCAGCCTACAGTTTAGACCTATTGTCTTATGTATGACCCTCTGTCCTGCGTGACAGTGAATACTAGCATTATCCTCAATTTAATAAGACTATCAAAATCCTCAGATTAGGCAAAATTGTAATTAATTTTGTCAATAAAGATGTTAATAATAAATAAGAACTTCTGGTTCTGATACTTTAAAGCTCGTCGTGAGTGTGTCGGTAATATGAATGTGTGGGGAGGCCAGAGACGTGAGTTAGTTATATATATATTTATTTATTTACAAGAAGATACAATGGGTTTGTGAGATTACATAATATTGGTATTTTTACATTCTTGCAAAGTCACTAACACGCATAGCGTTTCGGGAAGTTAGTGCCAGTGTATTACTACAACATTTTCTTGAAAAATCTAGTTTTCATGCACATTTTCAATATGGCATAATGGAACATTCGAAATTTCTTGCTGGGATTTTTTTTGTTTCTGTCGGCAGTGTGATCCAGAGGACGAAGATGAGTGGGGAGAGAACCTTTTACTGCTCTATCCTGACCTACTCTGGTCAGATGGGGTCCGTAGCAGTACAAGTAGGAGCAATTTGTACACCCAGCAAGATAACTTCGGTATAGAACAATAGAATCTCTTCATATCTCTTTATTACGAACTCGCATTAAACTACATCATACATCACCGTCGCTTTATCCTCGGCCTACAACCCTGGCAAACGCACAAGCTCACTACAACATTGTGGTTATGTTGTTCCGTTGTTACAACGTGAAAATAATTTTGTGATAAAATATTTGGAACAGGACGGCGGGATCGAACAAGCGTCCCGAGACACCCCAGACGCGTGCCAATATGTTTGACACAGTACCCCATAAGAAACTGTTGCACAAGTTGGAGAAACAACCTGATGTAAGTGGTAGGGTGCTCCAGTGGATAAGGGAGTACCTAAACAACAGGAAGCAGAGAGTTACTGTGAGGGGTGAGACCTCAGACTGGCGTGATGTTACCAGCAGAGTCCCGCAGGATTCTGTACTCAGACCTACCCTGTTTCTGAGATACATGAATGATCTTCCGGAAGGTATAGACTCATTCCTCTAAATGTTTGTTGATGATGCTAAAATTATGAGAAGGATTAAGGTAGAGGAGGACAGCAAGAGGCTACAGGATGAGTAAATTCACAAGGGCCGCAATGAGGGGTTCGAACCTGCGTCCGAGAGGATCCCAGTCGCACCTTATTCGACTGTGCCACAACACGGTAAAAAAAATTGCAACCGGGAGTTCATCTGCCCTCACACGGATCCTGCAGTCTCTCCGAGACACAAACCAGGGTTTTACACCCCCAGATCTTTCTCTCGTCCTGACTCGTGAAGGATTTCATCTTCCAGCTGGTACCTTGTGTTTGGCCTCCTGCTCCCTATGCCTATCTTCATCACTTTGCACTTGCTTGAGTTAAATTCTAGTAGCCAGAGTAGGTTTGTCTCTCGGAGAGACTGCAGGATCCGTGTGGGGGCAGATGAACTCCCGGTTGCAATTTTTTTTACCGTGTTGTGGCACAGTCGATTAAGGCGCATCTGGGATCCTCTCGGACGTACGTTCGAACCCTCATCACGGCCCTTGTGAATTTATACATTAGATGCATCACGCTATTGTGATTTCAGTGTGTAAGGCTACAGGATGACCTGAACAGACTGAAAAAATGGTCCAACAAATAGCTACTAGAGTTTAACTCGAGCAAGTGCAAAGTGATGAAGATAGATATAGGAAGCAGGAGGTCAAATACAAGGTACCAACTAGAAGAGAAAATCCTTCAAGAGTCAGGACGAGAGAAAGATCTGGGGGTTGATATTACACCATACTTGTTCCCTGAAGCTCACATCAAAAGGATGACATCAGCGGCGTATGCAGGACTGGCGAACATAAGAACTGCCTTCAGAAACTTGTGTAAGGAATCATTCAGAAACTTGTAGTCCTCATATGTTGGACCAATTCTGGAATATGCGGCTCCAGCGTGGAGTCCACATCTAGTCAAACCGAAGCTGGAAAAAGTTCAAAAGCATGCCACTAGACTAGTCCCAGAACTAAGAGGCATGAGTTACGAGGAAAGGCTGCGGGAAATGCACCTTATGACACAGGAAGACAGAAGAGTAAGGGGAGACATGATCACAACCTACAAAATCCTCAGGGGAATCGACCGGGTAAACAAGGATAAACTGTTCAACACTGGTGGTACGCGAGCAAGGGGACACAGGATCAAACTGAGTACCCACATGAGCCACAGGGACGTTAGAAGGAACTTTTTCAGTGTCAGAATAGTTAACGGATGGAATGCATTAGGCAGTGATGTGGTGGAGGCTGACTCCATACACAGTTTCAAATATAGGTATGATAGAGCCCAGTAGGCTCAGGAATCTGTACACCAGTTAATTGACAGTTGAGAGGCGAGACCAAAGAGCCAGAGCTCAACCCCCGCAAACACAACTAGGTGAGTACAACTAGGAGAGTACACACACACACACACACACACACACACACACACACACACACACAGGCCTCCCGGGTGAGTGGATAGCGCTTGGGGGTCATAGTCCCAATGGCCCAGGTTCGATCCCCGGCGGAGGCGGAAACAAATGGTCAGAGTTTATTTCACCCTGATGCTCCTATTCACCTAGCAGTAAATAGGTACCTGGAAGTTAGACAGCTGCTACGGGATGCTTCCTGTGTGTGTCTGTGTGTGTGTGTATGTGTGTGTTAGAGAGAAATATATGTAGTAGATATAATTGAGGCAAAATAGATTGGCTAGAAAGGTGGGTCCAAGAGCTAATAGCTTGATTTTGGACACACACACACACACACACACACACACACACACACACACACACACACACACACACACACACACACACACACACACACACATTGGGAGCTGCTCAGGCTGTTCATAACCAAGCCTGAGCAGCTTACAATAATAGAAGAGGAGATAACACAAGATGAGAGACTCTTATAGTCCACCACATGGCTACTAAATAAATGGTGACACCTCAGGTAAATTCAGGATACCTTTTAGTCTTATCCAATCATCCCCAGATCAACGACTGACTTTTCCAAGATGCAACCCACAAAGGTCACCTAACTCCAGGGTGCGTACATATCTAACGCTAGGTGATCAAAGGTATTAGGGGCAAGGAAACGCGTAACCGAACGTCTTGTCCTGCGCTGGGCATCGAACCCACAATTTTTCGGTTATGAGGCGATTGTGATGACAATTGTGGTATTGTGTGGTACACTGAGGACCTGGGGTGAGGCGCGCTGGACCTGTCAGGGCGAGCAGAGTCTCACTTGTACTGAATCTTTGACAAATAAAGTTTCTAAATCTAAAACTTAATCTAGGTTATAGAATGCGTGTTATAATTGCGAAATGTTGCCTGAAGGACACTTATTTATCTAGTGGCTCCGACGGGGACAGGAAGCCGGCGGCATGTCAAATGTCCCTTACTGTTTTGAGGACTTTTTCGCCTTCTCTTATCTAAATATTGTAATGGATTTTGTTGCAAACTTACTCACTTGTTGGTATATAACCATTTATGATTTCTTTTTCGACTGACTTTCATTATTTTTTCGTCACGGCGAGGTCAACCCTGTCTATGGTAATCTCTTTGGTAACCCCTATGGTAACCTCTATGGTAACGGTGTCATGTGCTGTGCGCACTTGGCCTTTCCTCATATGAACATTGACAGTTCTGGATTTTTCGTCTCTTATCGTTGATATTTTTTCTGTTTAATAATGTTTTCTTGAAGGTGTTGTGTCAATACTTGTCAGTCGCCCAGGCCGGGGCGCAGTAGGGATCCGTACACCTGGATGGCCACTTTCTGCTCCTGGAAGTAAAGGCTTACGGAGGCACAATTTGTGATAATTATAAAGTTTAAAGATATGTAAAGATGAGGCCCAATACCAGCTGAGAGGACAGCCTCATCTACTCCCTCTTACTGGGCCACAACTTTGAGGGGAACCTTTGACAAGCCGCCGGCTTCCTGGCCCTGTCGAGGCTCCTAGAAAGATATTGGCCCTCAGGCAGCCAATGAGATTAAGTTTGTTGTAATTTTTACAGTCCATCGTTCAACTCTTCACGAAAAGAGCTTTCATTTAAGGCTAATATGAAGACGCTCCCACGATTTCGAAAAATTGCATGTTCCTAGCTAAAAAAAAAAATCGGCTGCTATTTTTGAGTTAAACGTCAAAATTTACTGAAATAATCAAATTGGCATCACAAATTAATTCCTACCCCCCCCCCCCACTTCCCAAACTTGTACTGTGCAACGTTATAGACCAAACCAATTAATATATAATTTCCAAAATGGCCAAATGGGGGTCATTTTGAATTTGTGGCTGTGATGGAGTGACCCAACACTTTCGCGAGGGGCATAGGCAAAAATTATTATTTACCCATCATACAACACAAATCTACTGAGAACCTTCGCGCTCAACACTCGTGGAAGGACTGAAAATGACCCAGCTAATTAGATAAGGGACTTTAAAAGAATAGCGATGACGTAAAGCGGTTCCAAAAGTTCAGGTTTTAGAGGCTACTCGCATCGTGACTGTGTGGGGTGTTTGAATGACTTCAGTTAATATCATAAGAACAGACTTACTGAACGAATGTGTTGCTCGTCTGTTGTTAGATCTTGTGTGTGTGTGACGTAGACTGTTTCTCAGGTCTGAGACGCTTGGGCATGCTTTCTTTCACCTCATGAATCTGTTCCCTTACCAGTAAATAGGTATCTGTGAGTTAGGAAACTGTTGTGGGTCGCATCCTGAGGACAATCAGTAGTTAGCCTGGGAGAATTTCATAAGCCTAAAAATTGGAAACCATGAGGTTAACTGAATACCGTTTGGAATTCAAATTCCTTTGTTTATACTTCCTACATAAATATAACTTTAAACGTCATTGGATAGGCAAATACCTCTACAATAACACCATTTTATTGAACATAGAAAATATTCATAAATAACAAAATATGGTATAATATATTGTATCAGTTATTACAAAACTGTGTGTAGCCTGTTCACTCTACACTTAAATTAGCCAACTATCGCCAGTTTTCAAGAAAAACTGCCAAGTCATGTGATATCTCTAGGCTAAACTCTTAAGACTGTTGGATGGCAGTTTATGAATACTGGAGATACAAACACGTAACGTAGATAACTGTAACCAATATTCTCATGTATAAACACACCAAATGGAAAAGTTGCCATTATTTTAGCCAATTTTTTCACTTTTGTTGAATAATTATGCACAATAATTTTATAAATAAATTTGCGCATCACTATATTTAAAAATTTTATGTAAAAGGCGTTCAGAACATAATAAAAAATTATCCTTTATAAGCAACAGTTCTTTAGGAAATGTATATACAGGTCACTAAGTTGGCAATGATAAGTGTCGTCATTGAAACATATATTCTGCCAAGCAAACAAATGAAGATAGGGTGTATACACTGAGAGGTGTACCTAACTTCTCTGTGTATATGCAGCTTATATTTTAGTGCTGCCTTATGTTCAGGGTTCAAGTATACTTGCTGGTGGTCAGTAAGCTATTATATGGCCTTACTAACCCTAAAGGTTGGTAGGCCTTAATCCCAACACCGAGCAAGCAAGATGTATACCGAAGCCACATTAGTGGAGGTGGTGGTGTAAAGATGGTGGGCCTGGAGGTGGTGAGCCTGGAGATGGTGGCGTGGAGGTGGTGGGTCTGGAGGTGGTGAGCATGAAGGGTGTGGGACTGAAGGTGTTGGGCGTCGGCGCTGCCGTGGGGGTGGAGGTGAAGATGGCTTGCATAGGCGTGGACGTTTATGGCGGGAGCTGACGAGGTGGTGAAGATGGGAGTGGTCTAGTCGGCTCCTCCGGCGTTGGGGTGCGGCTCCTGGCAGCAGACGCCGCCAGTGATGGAGCCATCTGGCACGAAACAGTCCTGGGGAACACACCTTTGTGTTAATTCACGGCGGCCATAATAACATACGAATAAAGGAACTAGAAAAGGCCTATTGGCTCATGTGAGGCAGCTATTTATATCCAACCAGCTCATATCCAACTGAATATTATATTCACCTAATAACTTATTTCTTCTAATGCATATAGCCTTTATTTTATGTTATACAAAGAAAATGAAGTACGAACGACCCAGTAGATCAAAGGTAGAGTTTTACACTTATTGATCCCACACATTTTTGGTAACTGTAAGCATATAACTACATTGTCTGCACACAATGGCTTATGAGTTAACCTATACTAGGCCTATATATGCATAACTGTTCTAAAATTATATAATTTTTTGAACATTTGGTCATTATGCAATGATGTACAAAACAGAAGGGTAGAAATAGCCTAAGTTACTCTAGCCCTTTGAGATGTATTTTATTGTCTCAACAAACATACTTTAACCTGATGTATAAAACTGTAGTACAGTATAATGAAGTAGTTATAAAGTACAGAATCATTCCTAATGAGGCTACGACTACCTATGTCTACCTAGTCAACATCCGGGATAACCGCTTTGATAACTAAAAGGAGCACTTGCATGTGTAGCCGTTCGAGAACTGAAAAAGTTGTTAGAGTTGTTATGGTACAGTGAACTTGTCTTGAAAAGCTAACTGTTTTGCTACAGCCTAGTGAAAATGTCCTGTGGAGCGAACCGTTATGATAGAGAATAGAGTGAGAGTAAAGTTCTGAAGCAAACTTACCAGTAAAGGCACGGTGGGCGAGTCTGGCCACACTGCCAGTACCGGGGTGTTATCCCTCAGAATGAAGCCTGTGTACGGGTTACACTGTGCGGCCGGCACGCAGTACGTCCCAGCGCTGCACGACCCAGACCGCATCGGCATCGCCATACCCGGCATCATACCCGGCATGGATGTAGATTGCGGGCTGGAAGGACCCACAGGGTTGATGGAGTTGCTAAAGGGACGACCCTGTGATCCTGGATGTCCTGCTGAAGGGAAATGGGAAGGTGCGACAGCGCCGGCCTGGCTGATGCTGGAAGGCTGAGGGCTGAGCCCCGAGGGCTGGCCACCAGCCAGGGTGGTCTGAGGTACTGTGGATGAGAACTGGGAAAATGGTACATTCTGAGCCGGTGATCCAGAACTGCTCGGTGGATTTACTCCCAACTGACTGTGGGGGAATGGTTTGAGGGGTTTAGAAATAGTGGGCAAAGAGAAAAAAGAAGGTGGGGGGCTAGGGAGCCGAGCAGCACTTTGGGAGCCGGCAGATGGCGCTGGAGAGTCTGCAGAGGGAACAAGGTACTCGGTTGAGGGTACTGGAGGTCCGGCAGAAGGCACAGAAGAGCCAGAGGAAGGAACTGGCGAGCCGAAAGACGGCACTGATGACCCGAACGACGTCACTGGGGAACCGACGGAGGAGACCGGAGAGCCATCAGAGGGCACGGAGGAGCTGAAGGAGGGCACTATGGAGCTGCCGGAGGATACTTGGGAGCCTCCAGCGAGAGCCGAGGAGCTGCCGGAGTGAACTGAGCTGCCACCAAAGGGCGCTAGGGAACCTCCGGAAGTCACCGAGGATCCACTAGAGTGCACTGAGGAGTCGCTGAACGGCAGTAAAGAGCCTTTTGCAGGCACTGAGGAGCTGCCGGAGTGCACTGAGGAGCTACTGGTGTGCACCGAAGAGCCGCCGAAGGGCACTAGGGCGCCTTTTGAAGGCACTGAGGAGCTGCCGGAATGCACTGAGGAGCCGCCGGAATGCACTGAGGAGCCGCTGAAAGGCAATAAGGAGCCTTTTACAGGAGCTGAGGAACTGCCGGAATGCACTGAGGAACTGCCGGAGTGCACTGAGGAACTGCCGGAGTGCACTGAGGAGCCGCCGGAATGCACTGAGGAGCCGCTGAAAGGCAATAAGGAGCCTCTTACAGGAGCTGAGGAGCTGCCGGAGTGCACCGAGGAGCTACTTGTGTGCACAGAGGAGCCACCGAAGGGCACTAGGGAGCCTCCAGAGGGAACTGGGAAACCGCCTGAGAGCACTTGCGAGCCGCTAGAGGGCACTTGGGAGCCGCTAGAAGGCACTTGGAAGCCGCCAGATGGCACTTGGGAGCTGCCTGAGGACACTTGAGAGCCGCCAGAGGGCACTTGGAAGCCGCCTGAGGGCACTTGGAAGCCGCCAGATGGCACTTGGGAGCTGCCTGAGGGCACTTGGGAGCCGCCTGAGGGCACGCCGCAGCATACCATGTCTCCGCCGCAACTGGTGTACTTGAACTTCACCTGTAAGACAACAAAAGGAATATAAAGAATGGGAATCATCAACAAAAAGAGAGTCTTAAGAGGAACGCCAAGAGACGCGTTCACGGATCAGTTGTTACACGAGTAATACATCACAGATATGTGAACACCGGTAATTGCTTTTTGGAAGAATAACTTACAATTATTAGTCTTGCAAGAATATTGCATCAAGATTATACATTCCCCACATGTCTCCACCTGACAGACATTGGGCTCCTGCACCTGCCATGGACATGCTATCATTGCCATTATTTATATTTTGTGCGCATTTCCTAAATACTAACACCTATACGTCATTCTACATATCCACGCAACTATCAATAGTGCAAATTATAGCGTTTACCTGTCTGTCAGGTATGCATTCGTACACTGTTGACCGTAATTTAACATAATTTGGCATGACGGCAGAAGGCCTCAAAGGGAAGATTTATAGGGAATAAGCTAACAGCACTGAGGATCCCATGGGTCACGATGGGGTCCTGAAGTCCCACGAAATTCTGGTGCTGGGGAGGTTATTCCGGCTTGCCAGAACCCTATTTGGTGCGTCCACCCAGACATTGCTCTCTGTGTAGTGTTTACTTAAAGTGATGCTGTACAAAAATGTACTGACAGTAAAATTTAGGCTCATCTACTACAGACTCACTCATATAATTATCCCGTTCACATATTCATTACACGTGTAAACTGTACAAGTCCATAGCACAAGAGTTATACAGACATGTCCTTCACACTGTGCCTGTAGCTGCACTCACCTGGAACGGGATCTCCTTGAGCTGCTTGTTGATTTCACCAGTGCCGTCGCTGATAACATAGCCGTCCCGACACAGCTGCCAGTGCACACAGACGAATGTGGGATCACAGATGCCCATGGGTGGGATCACCAGGTTGTGGAGCGTGGGTGACAGTGGTGATGGTTTGGATTTCGCGGGCTGCTGGAATGGGCTAGTCGGCGTGCGGGAGTCTTGCGCCCCTGGAGGAAGCTTAAAGGGAGAGTTGTCTCCCAGCCACCAGTATGGAGCAGAGTCGCCTGCTGGACACCCGGCACCAGAGCAGCCACTACTCCCACTGCTGCCACTGCTACCACTGACACCGCCACTACCGCTGACGCAGCCGCTTCCGCTGCAGGTTATCTGTGTGTTACCTGCTTGAGGGCAGCCACTAGTACCACACCCGCCACTGCTGCCAGAACTGCTTGAGCTGCCGCAGTTCCCACTACTGCAGCCGTTGTCATTGGAATGAGGTTTGGGGGGCCCGTATGCCGACACCACCGCCACTGTCACGACCGCAAGCACTAATGCACGCATCTGTATAGGAATAAACACACTTGTTAATCATGTTGCACTTAACATGTTTTGACGGGTGTTTGGACACAAAGTTCCCCGTGTGTCATGCTAGCATCTTGACCACTCGCTGGTATACCAATATTAGTGAATCACCCACTCACACAGCCTCATACGACGTCCAGCCATTAACGAGAGCAGGAGCCATTTGAAAGCATATCGATTAATTGTGAACCAGTGGAATATCACGTTGGGGTGTGGGTGTACTACTTGTTCTTGTTATAGATTCAGCTACTGGGAACAAAAGTTCCAAGTAGCACGGGTTATGGTGAGCCCGTAGTGGACATAGGTGTACTACTGCTGCTTGTTTAAAGTACATAACAATTCAAACGCTCTTACCACTGGGAGATCAAAAGCTGAACCACACTGTATGGCTGAGATGTCCTACTACAGACACTGGGGAGAGGTACAGGTAAAGGAAAGGTTTAGAAATGTGTGATATAAGGTGATGTATGTGTAAAATCCTAAACTCAATTTTTCACGAGGAGGCTGATGAGTTATAAAAATATTGAAAACCCTTAATATTTCACAATTTGTGTGTGTGTGCATGCTGTGCTGTGCCGCTCTATAAGGGCGGTAATTTTTGGGTACAAAGGGTTTTGTGGACGTGGGTTTTCTGTTTTAGTTTTTTTTAATTGAAGCATTTGGATGGTTTCGAGTAGATCCAAGGTCTTGGACCATCTGTCTCTTCGTGGTGTAATCTTTTTAGCATCGTCTGATGTTCAGTGATTGTGATTTATGGAGCTTCTGGATAGTTTGTACATGTAGTGGGCGGTGTTTTGCAGATGCTCTTGGTGCCTTGCTTTGCAGTGGATGGCACTCATTGCATCACGCGGGACCATCGCCCACTGCGTCACGCAAGGTCAATCACCTGCGTCACACAAGGTCAGTCTCCTACACAGCATAATCACGCAAAGTCACTGATATCCATGTACAAATCAGATTGGGTCCGTCCATTTACAATCAGTGACATTGTAAATGACCTACATCGTAGGTTAAAAGAAAGACTTAAACCACTGAAAACACTTATTGGTATCAATGTTAAATGCTAGATTTTTCTACAAGATGTTTGTAAGATCTCTAGTTGATTATCATGCCTTGCACCTAATGAACTTCCCCGCCTCTGATTTGAACAAATTGGAAAACTGAATGAGACCATCAGGGTAATGATGCCCTGATGTTCTCTTGCAACTTGGTGCCCCAAGTTGCAAGAGAACCATCGACATAAATGAAGAACTGAATCTTCCAACTGAAGCTAGAGAGAATCATGCAAGTCAACACGACCTTTTCGTCTTTGTCATGAGAGACCCGCCATCTCCTGCATTGCTCAGAGACAAATTATTCTGTGCTGTTAACATCCTATTGACTGGTGTCAACGTACCGACTCACTCCTTGTATGATAAATGGCTGAGTAAAATGACCACAATCTCATCAAACTGAACATTCCTTTTAAATGTAATCTACCTGTCTCCGATATTCCTCTATCAGTACCCCACTATTCAAGTACCATACACACCCGTCACCAACAAAGGTAATGAGTATTGCTCTTCTCAAAGTTGTTTCTCTTTAAACAATTGCCTCCTCCAATAATTTTAGACCCCACAACCACTGTGTCTACAACGACGGCTCAGTCCAATCGTCAATAGGACGGAGTGTAGCATGTAGGTTTTACAGAAACAATACTTGCACACTATCAGTGTCAGGTTAAACAACTGGCTGACCTCTACACAAACAGAACTAGCGGCACTGCAACTAGTTACCAATACACTAAAAACCACGGGAGGAGAAATAATATTTTGTGATTCAAAGTCTGCTCTTCAAGCACTTAACAACTTCTCCTGCAAGATCTACAGCAAGAACCTCGTACTAGCAGTTATAAATGAACTGATCGCTGCCCAGAATAAAGGGTTTCGAATCTCCTTTGTATGGATACCATCACACATAAATATAACCCATCATAATTACACATACATTGCAGTCAAATTAGCGTATAACAAAGACGAATTAGGCCTAGGCCTAGATGAATTAGGCCTAGGCCTAGATGAATTAGGCCTAGGCATCCCCAACTCTTAACAACACTATATTGTTACAAACACTCGGCTCTAATAGGAGAAATTACTGACCCCCAAGGGGCCTGATAGCACCAGTATAAAGATTTATGAAATGTTTAGATCTGAAACCTATGTTTATGAGCTCCACAAAATGTCCACCAGACTGTGCGACACAGTGGTTGCCAGGATCAGGTTGGGTTACCGTTACCTGTGGCAGGTGGCTACAAGTGACAGATCTCCCAATCCTGAACACTCCAGGTGGTAGCTGTAGGCAGGAACTGGGTTTTGACCTCGCACACATTTATGAATGCCCAATTATCAATCCCTTCAGGCCTGCCGGCTTCAGGTACCTGGAGCTTTGCAATTATTTCCTTAGCTCTCGTGTTCTTGAAGATATCCTCATAATGCACCTATGATTTGTCAGAGCAGACTACTAATTACATAGTCTGTATGACTAGCCTTCCTGTGTGATGGCGACTCGCAGCAGTCTTAACACACTACTTCCTCATAATATAATCCAGGGCAGTTAAATAAATGCACATGTACTTAAATCCGTTACTAAAAAATATAGTCCAAGACTTGAAAGGGACCAAGCGACCCCATCAGGACGACCGCGTAGCCTGTTTCACCACTCCCACCCCTTCTACCCTCACCCTGCATTAGTTCCCCGCTACCATCACCCCTTCCTTGTGGTCCTTTCCCTCACCTCTTCCCTACTTCTACCTTCTCACCCATCACTACAACCAGCACACCCACCACCACCTACACATCGAACTTTAATCGAGCCACCATTAAGTATTGTCTTACAACAAGGAGGGTAGAAATAGCCTAAGCTACCAATCCTTTTAAGATTTATTTTATTGTCTCAATAAACGTACTTGAACTTGTCCTACAACACCCCACCCACCCGGACCTACCCCACCACCAGGATGTGTTACAAGGGTTGTGGGCTGGAGTGATGTCTCGGGTTGCAGAGAGGTAATTACGTTAAATTGTTGACCAGACCACACACTAGAAGTTGAAGGGACGACGACGTTTCGGTCCGTCCTGGACCATTCTCAAGTCGATTGTGATGAGGACAGGTAGGGACAGGCAATAAATAGGCAAGAGAGAGCTGAGGAGGAAAGAAAGGTGTAGGGGATAGTAGTAATAATGAGAACTGCAGCAGGCCTATTGGCCCATACGAGGCAGCTCCTATTATAACTACCGAAGGAGATGGTAATAGGAAAAAGAAGAGGATAGCAAGGGAGCGTAGAAGAAGACAATGCACAGAAAAAGGGAGAAGAGAGAAAGAAAAGGAAAGAGAAAAAGAAAGATAAAGGGAAGGGGTAAGCTTATGTTAAGTCACGTTTGTTAGAAAGATTAGAGCATTTGAGTATATACTGTGAAAGGGAAGAGTCCACAGCAACAAAGCCAGGACTCAAGTTCATGTTGGGTACATTGTGTATAAGAGCCGATTCTACAAGACGGCGTCTGTGTAGAGTAGAGGCAGGATTTAATTACGTTAAAGGTGCAAATTGAATGTATTTTTATTGCTTTAAGGAAAGACTGATATAATATTCAGGCTGTGACCTGGCAGTCAGGATTTTTATTGTTTGGCAAGTTTATTGCGCACCCCATACTCATCCTGTGAGCGGTAGCGCAAAAAGCATTCAGGTGGTGACGGGTGCCCAGGTGTCCAGAGTGTCCTGTCCAGATGAGTAGTATTTTTAATAAATATTTTGTATCTGTATTTACTAAAGAGGAACTTAACAATATGCCTTCAGCCGAACAAGTCTATGTGGGTGGGGACGAGGACAGGTTGACGAGTTTAGCAGTTACCAGGGAGGATGTTCTTAAACAAATAGTAAAACTCAAACCAAACAAATCCCCAGGGCCGGATGAAGTGTTTGCTAGGGTGCTTAAAGAATGCAAAGAGGAGCTTTGTGACCCACTGTCAACCATATTTAATAAATCAATAGAGTCAGGCAGAGTGCCAGAGTTTTGGAAAGTTGCTAATGTGATACCAGTTTTTAAGAAAGGAGATAGATCACTTGCGTCTAACTATCGACCAATTAGCCTAACGTCTATTGTGGGAAAGTTACTCGAATCTATAATAGCAAATAAAATTCGTCTTCATCTTGAAAAACATAAATTAATAATTGAGTCGCAACATGGTTTTATAAATGGCCGTTCATGTTTAACAAATTTGTTATCTTTTTATTCTAGCATTGTTGAGGCAGTTGATAGTGGTAAGGATTGCGATGTTGTATACCTTGACTTTAGCAAAGCTTTTGATACAGTGCCACATGAAAGACTGATTAAAAAAATAGAGTCTCATGGTATTGGGGGTGCTATATTAAGCTGGATTAGGGCATGGCTATACCAAAGGAAACAGAGAGTTAGTATAAATGGAATCAAGTCAGAGTGGGAAAATGTTGTAAGTGGAGTGCCTCAAGGCTCTGTCCTGGGACCTCTGTTGTTTATAATATATATAAATGATTTAGATTCAGGTTTGAGTAGCAACATTTGCAAATTTGCCGATGATACGAAAATCGGTAGGGAAATTAATTCGGAGGAGGACTCACTATCACTTCAAGTTGATCTAGATAGGGTTTTGAAATGGTCAAAGGATTGGCAGATGCAGTTTAATGCTGATAAATGTAAAGTTCTGAGGTTAGGTAATGATGATAGAGTTACAAGATACGAGCTAGATGGTGTTGTGATTGCGAAGTCGGATTGCGAAAGGGATCTGGGAGTTATGATTAGTAAGAATTTAAAACAAAAGGATCAATGCATAAATGTTCGTAATAAGGCAAATCGGACACTTGGATTTATTAATCGCAGCGTTAGTAACAAGACACCTGGTGTGGTTCTCAAGCTATATCTTGCTCTAGTTAGGCCCCATTTAGATTATGCAGTTCAGTTTTGGTC